CGCGGCGCCTTAGACGACTGGGCCACCCGTGCCCCGTCACATTCATAAATAACAACACTTGAGTCATGGCCGTCATGATGTCATGTATGTTGAGCAGATTGTGATTATGAGACTGATTGTCAGTATGTTGCCAGCCCTTGAACATGAAGGAGAGGTGGCAGTAGTGCTGGTTCATATAACACTAAGTAAGCAAGATGCCTGCTCCAAGGTAGTAGTGAGTGTGAAACAAGTCCGCCACAACCTCCTTCCAGATGTTTGGTGGTCACCCAAATCTTCCCACCAGACTGACAGTGTCATATTGCAGCAGACCTTGGAGAGAGGAGAAGTGCCCCAGACGGGGCATCTGAAAAGCAACTTTCAAAATATTGATACAGACAGTTGTTGGATGCTGGTGTTGTGTAAACATCCCCAACTGACATACATTCATGTGATATTTCCTGTGATCAGCAATTTACCTCATCACCTATGTGTGGCTGCAAGTGGGGCCTGCATCAGCATCACCAGCTTCAGGACAATTGGAACAAGATGCTCGGGGAGGGGTCAGGCCATTGTTGATGTTGCCTGGGCTTCATTAGCACCAAGTGTTCCTCCAGTGCTGGAGTTGACCCAGTCATAATAAATATGGTGGTGGCCCTGTTCCCAGGTACCTGGTGCCACCCCTGACTACCCTGGCAGTTGCCCCAGCTCAGTCAGCAGCAACAGCGGCAACAGCGGCAACAACAGCAACAACAGTAGCTTCAGGGCAGTGAGTGTCCAGTGCTGGAGTTGACCCAGTCATAATAAATATGGTGGTGGCCCTGTTCCCAGGTATCTGGTGCCACCCCTGACTACCCTGGCAGTTGCCCCAGCTCAGTCAGCAGCAACAACAGCAATAACAGTAGCTTCAGGGCAGTGAGTGTCCAGAAGGTTTCTTTCAAGAAAGGCGACCATCATAGATCACAAAACCTTCAAGTTGCAGCATGCACACTGTTACCATTGCTACAAATGTGTTTCAGTTGTGGAGGGAAAAAATTGTTTTTAAACGCCGCGTAGATATTTTTCTTATTTCTGAAGGCACATCTTGGTATCTCGAAGTTAGAATAGGTCTCCAGCAACCTGTGCTGGTCATGAGAGGCGATCAAATGGATTGTTGGGTTATCAGGCTGAGTGGTTGATAGCTTGTCTTAGTGCCCTGATGGTGCAGATTATTGCTTTCAATATTGATCACTGGATTGTCTGGTCCACACTTGATTATTTGCAACAACTACCAATGTGCATTGAAATCTTGAATGAGTTTGTATGGAAATCAGTGTTTGTGAATGAAAAGACCTAGACAGAATATCAGTGATATGCATTTGGGTGCAAATGGCAACCAAATGCCTTTTTTCTCAGATGGTAATAAACTTTATCCTTCTGTTAGCTGGGGTCAGGTTGCCGAATTACGAACATGCAAATGTCTCAAGGACAATTGTCTATGAGTGTCTGGAGCAGGAGTGAAAAGGACAGACTACGAGAGTAACATTTAGTGTGTAACAAGTGGTGATATTTGCAGTGAAAGTATATCTCCTGAAGCCCTTGTGTGTCGTAAGTGGAGCCCCTGCACCTGAAGTAGAAGCTGACTCTGATGCTGTGGCGGTAATGGTGCAGCAGGGTTGTCGTCACTGCAGCGACACCAGTGATGATTGACGAGGGTCTGCTCCACCTAGGAGTGAAGGTCAATGATAGATAGATAACAAATTCCATGTGGAATGTTTGAACCACTGCCTCTATCAACATCCTTTTCTTGGCTTCTTGATGTATCTCAACAGTAAGGTGTGTGGTTCCTGGTGACAAAATTTGCCTTCTATCTCATGGTTTCCTTGATGTGTCTCAACAGTAAGGTGTGTGGTTCCTGGTGACAAAATTTGCCTTCTATCTCATGGTTTCCTTGATGTGTCTCAACAGTAAGGTGTGTGGTTCCTGGTGACAAAATTTGCCTTCTATCTCATGGTTTCCTTGATGTGTCTCAACAGTAAGGCAGAGTTTTACCTAGACTTACAGACCCTGAATGCCCAATAATAAATTTTATGGGTCCTTGCAAACAATATGAGGGTCCTGTAAAGTAATAAAATGGTGCAGTCTACTTTACGTTTTGATAATTACTTTAGAGCCTGGAATGAATCAATGGTCATGATTGATGGATGAAATGACAAACCCATAACTGCTCTTGATGCACTGTGGGTACAATGAATATTATTGTGCTTCCCTTGTTACGCAGTATATTCTTTTTCTGTGTTCAGTCTCAACATTTGTAGGTATTAGGCGCACATTTGTTCATCGTGTAAAACCTTGGTAAGGTGTCTGGTTCCTGGGGAAAGATTGGTCCCCGTGTCAACATCTTTCTCTTGGTTAATTGATGCATCTCAACAGTAAGGTGATCCTTTCTCTTGATTACTGTATTATCATTCTTGGTAGTGACAAACCTGTGATCATGGGTTTAACCAAGTGGTAATATCTTAAGACCTTATTCACTTAAGGTTTTTGGCCCACATTAACCTGGCATGCTGTGATACAACTGAAACACTGTTCAAAGAGGTGTTAAACCAGACAGAAAATCTCACACCTTTTTGTTGCTTGATGGAGCTCAACAGTAAAGTGTATGGTCTTGTTCTTTGGGACAGGAAATACTATTGTCCTGTACAACCTCATTGAGTTCAGACCTGCTTATTATATCCTATTCCTAATGACTATCACCTACCTTAACACCTTCAATATGTACATGGCAAGGGTTACTTATTACAAGCTCAGTGATCAAAGGTGCATCTATCTACAGTGCAGAGTTGTGTCCCTTACCTGTGCCAGGATGCTCTTGTCATTGGTTTGAATCTGTCAAAATCATGTCCATGTTTGCTAAAATGCAATATGTTTGTCCTGCAACACTAGGCTACTCTTCAGCATTAAAGTGACAAGTGATAAAACAGTGAAAAGCGGCATCAAACCCTTGCCTCTCACTGACACTCAAGCTCGGAGGTTCACACAGTTTAACAAGCACTTTTAAATTGGTCACACTTCAAGGAACCCATCCAAACAGACGTTCAATTCTTCAGGAAGGACCAGGAAGGGAAATGTCAATGGTGGTTCATTAGTACAAACATATCTCAAAATGCATCTTTTCATCCACATCTTCAGGATTTAGATATAAGCCAGCCTGGTCATGCGGCCCTTCAGTCAGTATCCCTGATGGACCTTAAGTGATGTAGCTGCCTATATTCAGTGTATTGTTCTGTTCAATGTCTAGCTACCTCTTATGCACACTGAAAACACATCTTTCCTGCTGTCGCCTTCACCTCATTGCACAGCAGCACTGCAGGGCACGCTATCTGGAGACTGGGCATACACAGGGCACGCTATCTGGGGACTGGGCATATACAGGGCACGCTATCTGGAGACTGGGCCTATACAGGGCCCGCTATCTGGAGACTGGGCCTATACAGGGCCCGCTATCTGGAGACTGGGCCTACACAGGGCACGCTATCTGGAGACTGGGCATATACAGGGCACGCTATCTGGAGACTGGGCATATACAGGGCACGCTATCTGGAGACTGGGCATATACAGGGCCCGCTATCTGGAGACTGGGCATATACAGGGCACGCTATCTGGAGACTGGGCATATACAGGGCACGCTATCTGGAGACTGGGCCTATACAGGGCATGCTATCTCGAGACTGGGCATATACAGGGCACGCTATCTGGAGACTGGGCATATACAGGGCACGCTATCTGGGGACTGGGCATATACAGGGCACGCTATCTGGGGACTGGGCATACACAGGGCACGCTATCTGGAGACTGGGCATACACAGGGCACGCTATCTGGAGACTGGGCATATACAGAGCTGGCTATCTGGAGACTGGGCATACACAGGGCACGCTATCTGGAGACTGGGCATATACAGGGCACGCTATCTGGGGACTGGGCATATACAGGGCACGCTATCTGGAGACTGGGCATATACAGGGCACGCTATCTGGGGACTGGGCATATACAGGGCACGCTATCTGGAGACTGGGCATATACAGGGCATGCTATCTGGAGACTGGGCATACACAGGGCACGTTATCCAGAGACCGGGCATATACACAGACATGTAGAAATGTTATTCTCATTGTACTGCAGTCATGAGGACAGTGTTCCCCGCTGGTTTTTGAAACTGCCGATCCTGGTGGACTTCAAAACTTCAAAAAATATATAAAAGTATGAACATTACCTGTTTTTCTATGGTGTCATCTCTGAAGTAACTTACTGAGATCTACACATCCTTCACACAAAGTTGACTCACAACTTTCTCTTTAATGTTTGAATATTTCGAGATTAAATCACAACAAATACATATTTAATCTCGAAGCAAATCGAAATGTTATTGCCTTGCACTATAAATAGACAAGGGGAAACCCTGATGGCAACAGACAAGCTACTTCGGTCGAAAAATATAATCATATGAATATCACTGCTGTTTTGTTCAACCTCAAAGATTAATGAGGTACTTTATTTGCTGGTCCAAAGGGACTGACAGTCACATGAATTACCGGTCCAAGCCAAATTTTACCAGTAAAAAACTGGTAATTACCGGTAAACGGGAACACTGTAGACGGCAAGTTCTCTTGTGTAAGACTACAATTCTGGTGTACAAACACACGTAGAAATCAGTTAAATCTTTTTGTGCAACTGATCTACAGGACTAGTTCTCATTATGACTATTTTACATAACACGTATCAATAACATCATCATGAAACAGATTTAGGCATGTGCTACTTTTACAATAATATGTACCGGTAGATATGATTCTATATTGTTTGTCTTGATACAGTAACACCATCATCTAGCATGTGAATACTCATATGATCAGGTAGATACTTGGTAGTTACGAACTAGTTAATGATTCGATTGATTCTCCACACGCATGGATACACAATGCTATATGTTCTCTCTCTGTAGTAGATGTTGTAGTCTTTATCTAAACTGTCTATTTGCATTTAGGTGGCAAGGTTGTATCTTCTACAGTCAGCAAGGGTACGTAACCTAGTGCTGCCAGGAAGATTGGCACTAGTGTGACAGCTGTCTTGTGTTCTCTGTTCGCACTTCTCAGGGTCGAATCTGTTGGTTTGCTGCAACCTAACCCCTAAACCATACATTTTTACGAGTAGGAGGTTTTGGATTTACAGAGAAATATTTAAGAGAGATTTTCGTTGATCTGGAATTTGTCTATTACATTCAAGGAATGAGTGAGTGAAGTTAACAACTACCTTTATAACGAACACTTTTATAACGAACTGACCGATATAACAAACTTATTTTTTAGACCCGGCCATTTGTTGTATATATGCTGTATATATGCTTATAAAGAACTACGGTTATTACAAACTAAAATTAGTGGTCCCTTTGAGTTTATTATAACAGTAGTTTACTGTATGGTGTTAGTTGCATCTAAAGAGAATCTTATGACTTAATGATTCCGTGCCTTCAGAGGGTGTAATTGATCATGACCAGACGTTAACGCAAGCCAGCAGTATTTGTTCCCATTTCGTTCTGTGCATCATCGTCATGTGTCGTTGTTCTGGACAGCTATGACATGATTGCTTCTTGTCTTTCATTCAGCTATGTTCAAATGTAAAAATGCCTTTTCTGTTGCTTGTGTTTCTATTATGCACTAACCAACCTCACAGCATTGTTTTGCAGGTTATTCTAACGTCTTTTTGAGAAATAACATGCAGTATTACACTGTTTGTGGTCTTTGTACAAATACTACAAACATTGCAATGGTTCTCTTGATTCAAGTCTAATCTCAGCATCCTATAGTTCAAATTGGTTTTCTTACCTCTGTACTAACTAAATGGTGTGATGTTGGTGGTCCCTTTCGTACAAGCCCTGTACCCTGTATGGGCTATATTGGTTTGTCAGACAAAACCTAATCCCTGCACTTTGTGGTGACAAATTGGTATTGTTGACTAAGATACAAGCCCTGCGCCTGTGTGCTCCAACTGCATGGATACTTGCTCCTGCTAACAGACACCGATTTTACCCTTCCCCCTATCCAGACTGCAGTGATGACTCAGTGTTATTGCTGATTCCTGTGAATACATAACCTCTATTACATCATGGCCATGAATCCTGCAGTTTGGCTGTCCTCACATTATAAAATCTTTAGATTTTCAACAGATGATTCTTTTCACTTCCAACTAATTTATAGTCTTGAGGGATATAGTATTCTCCAACCAACAACATCTGTGCATGTGAGTGGCAGGAAAACTTCATACATACTGTTCCCCATGAAGTCTCCCTTGCAGTGTGTGATATAACATTGTGTCTGACATATAGTTCCTGTACACAAAATCTGACTCACAGTTCCCATACACTATGTCCGATGTATATAGTTCCCGTACACTATGTCCTACGTATATTTCCCATACACTATGTCCAACATATAGTTACCATACACTATGTCCGACATAGTTCCCACACACTATGTCCGACATAGTTCCCATACACTATGTCAGATGTATAATTCCCATCCACTATGTCCAACATATAGTTACCATACACTATGTCCGACATAGTTCCCACACACTATGTCCGACATAATTCCCATACACTATGTCAGATGTATAATTCCCATCCATTCTGTCCAACGTATAGTTCCCATACACTATGTCCGACATAGTTCCCATACACTATGTCCTACGTATATTTCCCATACACTATGTCCAACATATAGTTACCATACACTATGTCCGACATAGTTCCCACACACTATGTCCGACATAATTCCCATACACTATGTCAGATGTATAATTCCCATCCATTCTGTCCAACGTATAGTTCCCATACACTATGTCCAACGTATAGTTCCCATACACTATGTCCAATGTATAGTTCCCATACACTATGTCCAACGTATAGTTCCCATACACTATGTCCAACATATAGTTCCCATACACTATGTCCGACATATTTCCCATACACTATGTCCAATGTACAATTCCCATACACTATGTCCGACATAGTTCCCATACACTGTGTCCGACATAGTTCCCTTACACTATGTCCAACTTATAGTTCCCTTACACTATGTCCAACTTATAGTTCCCATACACTATGTCTGACATAATTCCCATACACTATGTCCAACGTATAGTTCCCAAACACTATGTCCGACATAGTTCCCATACACTATGTCCGACATATAGTTCCCATACACTGACATATAGTTCCCATACACTATGTCCGACATAGTTCCCATATACTATGTCTGACGTATAATTCCCATACACTATGTCCGACGTATAATTCCCATATACTATATCCAACATATAGTTCCCGTACACTATGTCCAACATATAGTTCCCATACACTGACATATAGTTCCCATACACTATGTCCGACGTATAGTTCCCATACACTATGTCCGACATAATTCCCATACACTATGTCCAACGTATAGTTCCCAAACACTATGTCCAACATAGTTCCCATACACTATGTCCGACATAGTTCCCATACACTATTTCCGACATATAGTTCCCATACACTATGTCTGACATATAGTTCCCATACACTGACATATAGTTCCCATACACTATGTCTGACATATAGTTCCCATACACTGACATATAGTTCCCATACACTATGTCTGACATATAGTTCCCATACACTGACATATAGTTCCCATACACTATGTCTGACATATAGTTCCCATACACTGACATATAGTTCCCATACACTATGTCCGACATATAGTTCCCCGTCAAGCCCTGCGTGATGTTGCACACACTGACATATAGTTCCCATACACTATGTCCGAGGTATAGTTCCCATACGCTATGTCCAACATATAGTTCCCATACACTGACATATAGTTCCCATACACTATGTCCAACGTATAGTTCCCAAACACTATGTCCGACATAATTCCCATACACTATGTCCGACATAGTTCCCATACACTGACATATAGTTCCCATACACTATGTCCGACATATAGTTCCCCGTCAAGCCCTGCGTGATGTTGCACACACTGACATATAGTTCCCATACACTATGTCCGAGGTATAGTTCCCCGTCAAGCCCCTCCAGCCCTGGGTGATGTTGCACACACTGACATATAGTTCCCTGTCAAGCCCCTCCAGCCCTGGGTGATGTTGCACACACTGACATATAGTTCCCCGTCAAGCCCCTCCAGCCCTGGGTGATGTTGCACACACTGACATATAGTTCCCCGTCAAGCCCCTCCAGCCCTGGGTGATGTTGCACACACTGACATATAATTCCCCGTCAAGCCCCTCCAGCCCTGGGTGATGTTGCACACACTGACATATACCCCTGACTTATGGAGGTAAACAATACACTCTGGTGGAGACAGTGTATATACACTTGTGCCTAATAGTCTCTCTCTGTCTGCAGTCTCACTATTAATACCCACACACTGGAGTAGGATAGACATTTGCTTACAATAATTTACACCAGTAACATACACACAGAGGGTCAGTCTGGGCCTTCCCCCAGCTGCCCATTTTCATCTTTTTTAGGCAGTTGGTTGGTCTGTGATCTTTCCGAGACATAAACTGCCTAGTGCGTAATTGTACACATTTTGTAGTACGTCTGCCTCTTGTCTGGCTACAATGTAGGCTTAGTGTTCTCTGTCCATGCTTAGATTGGATTGTCTTCAGCTTAGATTGGTTGGTTGGTTTGTTGTTAAACGCCGCACTCAGCAATATTCCAGCTATATGACGGCGATCTGTAAATAATAGAGTCTGGACCAGACAATCCAGTGATTGACATCATGAGCATCGATCCACGCAATTGGGATACGATGACATGTATCAACCAAGTCTCTTCAGCTTAGAAGAGCAAGTAAGAAATTATTAGTTTTCTTAACTTAAAACTGTTATTTGTCTTTGTATATCTGTTATGTTGGAACTTTGTTTGTTTGTTGTTTAATGCCACACTCATAAATATTCCAGCTTTATGACAGCAGTCTGTCTGGTCGAGACTTGTTTATATACAATCTAGTTATTGACATCATAAGCATCGATTGTTGGGAGTGAGCCTGACCACCTGATCCCGTTAGTCGCCTCTTACAACAAGCATCGGTTGCTGAAGATAAATTCTAACCTGCATCTTTGCATAAATTCAGTAGCTCTAATTTGTTAAACCTCTTTTGACATATATTAATTTTGGGGGGGAATGAAAACTGATAAATATCATGATAATGTGTCCTAATATCGTAATTCTGTAATTCAGCCTGTGCCTGAATCAGGGTTTCCATGTACCCAACATTGGGGGACACCCACGGAAGCCCCAACACCCAACACATGCCCTGCCTGATTCAAAATGTCCTCGTACTTGACATGGGGGACACCCACAGAAGCCCCAACACCCAACACATGCCCTGCCTGATTCAAAGTGTCCCTGTACTTGATATGGGGGACACCCACAGAAGCCCCAACACCCAACACATGCCCTGCCTGATTCAAAGTGTCCCTGTACTTGACATGAGGGACACCCACAGAAGCCCCGACACCCAACACATGCCCTGCCTGATTCAAAGTGTCCCTGTACTTGACATGAGGGACACCCACAGAAGCCCCGACACCCAACACATGCCCTGCCTGCTTCAAAGTGTCCTCGTACTTGACATGGGGGACGCCCAAAAAAGCCCAACACATACCCTGCCTGATTCAAAGTGTCCTTGTACTTAACATGGGGGACGCCACAGACTCCCAACACATGCCCTGCCTAATTCAAAGTGTCCTTGTTCTTAACATGGGGGACGCCCACAGACTCCCAACACATGCCCTGCCTCATTCAAAGTGTCCTTGTTCTTAACATGGGGGACGCCCACAGACTCCCAACACATACCCTGCCTCATTCAAAGTGTCCTTGTACTTGACATGGGGGGCACCCACAGACTCCCAACACATGCCCTGCCTCATTCAAGTTGTCCTTGTACTTAACATGGGGGACGCCCACAGACTCCCAACACATGCCCTGCCTAATTCAAAGTGTCCCCGTAC